GGTTTTAACGTGGGTAGTTTACTTTATTTATTTATTTATTTATTCATTCCCCTCTGCAGTTTTCTCCACTTGGCGATTATTCACGAGGAAAAAGCCCTGAGCCTGGAGGTGATCCAGCAGGCGGCCGGGGACCGTACTTTCCTGAACTTCCAGAACAACCTCAGCCAGGTACTTTCACGTCTGCAGCCCCGAATCCGGATCAGCCCCTGCCACTTCCACAGAAGCCCGCTGGGGAATTCCCCCCAAAAAAGTCCTTTTAGATTGTTTTTTTTTTCATTGATGGAATCAATTAAATCAAAGCCTACATCCAGGAAAGTCCCTAGCTGGCTCCAGCAGGTGTTAGTACAAAGCTACCTCTCCCCCGAGAGTGGCATTTAATGCCCGCATTTTTCAAATATGATGCAATGGGTTGTATCCCTCTTTACTGGGATGTTAATGATACCCTTTGTATGGATTGACTGTTGGGTGTCCAGAGAGCCCTAAGTTCATCACTGCCAGACTAAAGGGCAACTATACTATACATTGGGAAGCATAAAAAACTGTTTATTGGGTGTGTTTTTAATTGGGGACACAAATCACGAAGTAGTCAAAGGGGTCTGTTTGTCTGGGCATTGCCGCCAAGTTTGCGGTGTAACTTACAGGTCTGCGTTTTCTCTTTTGCCTTCAGACTCCTCTTCACCTGGCAGTGATCACCGATCAGCCTGAAATTGCCGAGCATCTTCTGAAGGCTGGATGTGACCTGGAAATCAGGGACTTCCGAGGAAACACCCCCCTGCACATTGCCTGCCAGCAGGGCTCCCTCCGGAGCGTCAGTGTCCTCACACAGTACTGCCAGCCGCACCACCTCCTCCCTGTCCTGCAGGCCACCAACTACAACGGTACGGGCACGGTGCTCTACATCAATGTCAGTGTGCTGTACTGAGGGTAGGGCTGATGTCCTGTAGAGCTCAAAGATCTCAAAAGGCAGAGAAGGATCCTTATGCCCATCTGAGAGTTGAGGAGCCCAAAGCACGCAGTGGTGTCTGACTTCTTTTAAACTTCAGGGTCTTGTAGGCCTCCTCACTGCTGATTATTGGCTCTCATGGCTTTGAATTTTGCATTTTTAGTGAGTACTTTTGCAGTGCTCCTTTTCTTTGGTTACAGTGAGGTGCAGTCAAACACTGGAATAAATCCAACCCTGTTATTCATACTTAATGAAAACTGGAAAGCTCTTCTGGAAAACACCCTTGTGCTGTGGATGAATTGCAAACTTAGATACTGTCCTGTCCGGTCCTCTTGACATTAACTGGACGATGGAGCATTAGGTTAGACTTACTCAAATTCTCCTTTCGTTTGTGTTTTGCAGGACATACGTGTCTCCATTTGGCATCTATTCAAGGGTACCTGGCTATTGTCGAATACTTGCTGTCCTTGGGAGCAGATGTGAATGCTCAGGTATGTAATGTATACCATGAGTTTAACTGAGCAGGGCTGCGCAGTCATAAGAATCAACAGGTCTGGCACTGCCTCTGGCTCTCTTAACACACCAAACCTTGTGTTATTTTCATGCAGGAGCCATGCAATGGCAGAACGGCACTACATTTGGCTGTTGACCTGCAGAATTCAGACCTGGTCTCGCTTCTGGTGAAACACGGGGCGGATGTGAACAAAGTGACCTACCAGGGCTATTCCCCCTATCAGCTCACGTGGGGAAGAGACAACTCCAGCATACAGGAACAGCTGAAGCAGCTGACCACAGCCGACCTGCAGATGTTGCCAGAAAGTGAGGACGAGGAGAGCAGTGAATCGGAGCCTGAATTCACAGAGGATGAAGTAAGTAGCTATTTGCACCTTTTCAGGAGAAGGGGAAAATTCTGCCCTTTTTAGTTTTTTTTTTTTTTTGTGTTGGTGCCACTCTGATGACATGCTCCAGTGACCTCTTACCTATAGAACAGGCGGGTATAAATAGCCCATAAAGTAAGCTTACACTATCAACCATCAGCAAGATGGCAGTTGGGGCAAGCATATAAGTAGAATAAATTTAAGAATAAAAAATAACGTGAGGGAAAGGAGGTTAACTTAATGCAACATACTTTGAACATCGTTCTGTTGCTGGCACCTACGGAACCTTGTGAGTTAAAATTCAAGTTAATAGGTGGTTTTCTCCTCCCCAGCATTTGTTCTTCTAATGTTCTTAGTGCTGTTAAATGGCAAATGTAATTGTTTTGGTGTAGAAATTTTATACGCTGCTGAAGTCAGGGCATGCAGAATTTGGCGCTTATCCCAGAGTGGATATGATACTCCCAGTAAGAGTTTGACATTAACAGCCTTTTGTTTTTTTCTTGCAGCTTATATATGATGACTGCCTTATTGGAGGACGACAACTGGCATTTTAAAGCAGAGCTTTCTGTGAAGTGACTGTGTACATACGTATAGAAAAAGGACTGACTTTCTTTATTTGAAAAGAAAGTCGCCATGTGGAGGGAAAAACCAAGAGGGAAATATTACACTGCCCAGCAAGGAGCACGTAATTGTAACAGGACGAGGTTCTGGCCTGTGTTTAAATACAGGAGTGGGATGTGTAACAGCAGTAGAGATCTGTGATTATTCACACCACCTGATAAAGAGCCACGTAGCCAACCTTCTCAACCCTACAAAGGTAACAGACTACACATCCAACCTGCTAGCTACAGAGAACTATCTTGTGGCGTTAAGTACGGCGAGGAATGCGTGTCCTCTCACGGCAAGGCAGGCTCAAACCGACATCCCATCCTCTTGGAGACTGTGTGTTGATTTGCGTTGGGCTGGTGGCACTCCTTGGCCAGACTGACCAACCTCAGCTGCTCTCGGTGGGGCATCCCAGGCGGAGGAGTGGAACCAAGGGACGGGTGACCTGGCTGTTAGGAGAAAGTAGCAATAATGTTAACTGTGGGCATTGGAAACTGTGTGTTTCACACCATGTGTGTCATAATTGCTACACTTTTTAGCAATTGTATATTGTGTAAATACTGTACATTTTTTGTTTATAATTATTTTGGTACATGTGAGATATGTATTTATTAAAAAAAGTCAGATTACTCTACCTGGTCTGTGAAATGGTTCCGTTGCCCACCTTGTTGTTCCAAGATATGTGGGAATCCACCTGGTTCGCTTTTTAAGAAACGTTTAACGCCTAGTAGACCGATGGGGTCACAAGCTCAGGGGTTTTAGGTGGTTCACCTCGGCAGCGGTGAGACATCTAAGCAGCTCTCAGCTCTCAGCCCTTCTGCCGCAGCTAATTTTGGAAGCAGATGTGGGTGTTGTTTCCTGCACCCATTGCAGCAGGCGGGTCAGGGGGCTGGAATTCCCCCTCTGTCACCCAAGCACCA